TTTTTTTTTGGTGAGGGTTTCTTTTTGTTTAATACTCCCTCTGTTTCATTATAAGTGATGTTTAAGGTTTTCGCACACTAATAATAAAACATATAACTTACCCATTTTCTATAAAACATCATTAACTAATATGAATTCAACCAATTAAGAAATATAATGTATAATATAATTGGTAAAAAATATTAAATACATTAAATTTTTGCATAAGAAATTGAAAACATTACTTATCTTGAAACAAAAAAAATTGGCTAAAACATCAATTATAATGAAACAGAGGGAGTAATTATAGGTTATATGTTATCATTAAAATTAGGTCTAATATAGTTTAAGTAAAATACATTTTATGGTGAAATCAAATGAAATATAGAAGGATAATTGTATTAAACTCTGTTTTTATTAAAACTGTTTTAAACACAGCGCAAGAACAATCCATGATAACTTATTCGATGTGGCTCAATTGCCCACCTTACAATGGTGGAAATCAGAAACTTTTTAGATATATATTGGGAAAAATATTATTTAAATCCCGAACTTTTGACTATTAAAATGGGAAAAATGTTACTTAAATCCCGAACTTACATATTTTGGCCATTTTAATCATCGACTTTCACTGTGGCCATTAAAAGCATAGACTTCTCGTTTACGTTATTTTTAAATCACTATCTTCGTTTGACTGAGCCAGATTGAACATGTCGTCAAATCAAATTGTCTAACAGAGGAGTTAACAACCGTTTAGGATCGTTAATCGATCTCTATTAAGTCGAAAAATGAGAATCACAAGGATAAACGACGTCGATTTAGGATTGTTAATCGATCAATTAAAACCGACGACGTTTTGCTTTTAACGAAAATGTCTAAATCCCCAAATCAAAAATTAAATCCCTAAATTTCAATGTTCTTCCCCAAATCGATCGACTTCTCTCTCAAGACCTCTAATTTTCCATCGAAGTCATCTTCTTTCAGTGTTCTTCCCCGAGACGATCTAAATCTTCTCCTTTCTCATTTGTCATCTATTTCATCTTCTCTGTCCGTGATGAGTTGCGAATCTGGAGAATCCAGTGGAGAGAAAGGAGGTCGCGGGAAACTGGTAAGTCTTTCCACACAAGTTTTTGACTGCGCCTGGATAGTCTTGTGGATCGTCAATCTGTGTGAAATTAGTAGCAAATATAAGTAAAATAGCGTAATAAAGATTATTATGAAGTTTAAACAACAATAGGTTCAAATCTCATCAAAACCGCCTTCAATAAGGCTATTAGCAGAACAGCCTACAATCTCAGTTGTCATGCTATCAAAGAGCATCAATTTCATAACACCCGTTTGATCCTTAACTTGAACGTGCTACTTGAAGATATCGATGAATTCCAAAAATCATTATGTTGCCAAGGTTATACCGTTATTGAAGATTAAAAATATCTCCAAATCGTGATTCTAACGTCATAATCCAAAAAATCAAATCTCTAATTTCTCACTTTTTTTACCGTTAAACGACTTCGTCTCTTATTAATAGAGATGGGTTAGTGATGTCTAAATGTTTGTTAGTTGTTTTGTTAACAAATTTCTGGATATGATGTTCATTTTGGCTTAGTCAACAAAAGATGTTGTTTTAAAAACTAAGTCCACGAAAAACTCATGTTTTAAATAGCCACATAGAAAGTTCGTGATTTAAATGGCCAAAATTTGAATGTTTGTGATTTAAATGACATTTTCCCGATATTAAAATACCTTGCAATCACATTAAACGTAAATAATAAAGTGTGTTGTGTGTCTTACTATCTCAATCATAGTTGTAATGTCTCTAATGGATCTAGTAGGAAACTGGAGATAATAATCATCAGGTAGAGCAAGAAGGTTCTCATGTTTCGGTGGTCTATCAAGGACAGTACTAGCTAAACCATCGTTTGGTAAACTATATTTGGAATTAATAAACTGTTAAAATAAATAAAATAATATTAAGCCATGTATAGATTGTAAGTAACTTACTTATTCTTGAATTCGACAACATCAGCATAATCGGAATCGATTTTGACCAAAGACGCATTGAAAGCGTTGGATACACTCCTGACTTCTACAACATAAAATACACAATATTAAACTTTGTAAATGTCTCTTTAATATTAAGGTAGATATCACTGTACAATTGAATACCTTTGTAACATTTAGTCTTCGCAAACCCTCTAAAGACATATAATTTGTTCAGCAAATGAATCCCACAATGTACATGGTAATCTTGAACCACTAAGAAAATGAACCTTGTTTAATAAAAATAAAAAGTAAAACCATTAAAATAAATGTGCTATACGAAGTTATGAAACTACCTCTCATTCCTTAATTTGAATTTCAATTTGTTAGTCGGTTTGTTGTTGACATCAATGGTTTCCATCTCACCAACTAACAAATTAGCATTGCAGTTGTCGTTGATTAGTGAATCAAATGGAGTGATACTGATGTAAGGATCATCAGAGAGTGAATCGATTTTGTTATATTAAATGTTAAAATGAGTTAAGTCTTTAAAAGTCTTGAACTTGGTATGAATTGAATCTGATTTTGAACTTTGATAGAATGAATCCGAATTTGAAGTTTGAATGAATGAATCTGTTTTGATATGTTTTGAAGTTTGAATGAATTTAATTTGATATTGAACTTCGAATGCTTGAAGCAGTTAAGATATGTTTGAACTTTGAATCCACAGATCTGTTTTGATATGCTCTTCGTTCTCTCATTTCAGGTTTGAACCAAAGCATACTCGAGGTGGGAACCAAAGCATCACAACAATACACAATTTTGAGTGTTTATCTAGTTATACACTCATGTAATACGCTTTTCAAATTTTAAGAACTTCATTGTAAATACATACCATTGGACTTGTTGTAAACTAAAAAACTTTCACAGTTTCTTAACTTTAACTTTTTCTTTGTTTTGGTTATAAATATGGTTTAAAATCACTTAAAGGTTCTAAAGCATTGGAGATGGTCTAAGTATTATTAGACCAATATCTTCTGTGGAAGAGTTATAATCCATACGGTTTTGTTCATATGATTCCAAATTAGAGGCTTTTTAGCTTTATGTTTCCTCAGTTTCTTAGTCATATATTCCCCAGTTTTAACTACCAATCAAAGTAGTACATATAATTATATGATTTGTGAAGAGTGTCGTTATTTGTAGAGAGTACTTTCTCGTAGGGTTTAATCGATAACTGCAAGTGTAATGATATTTCATGTAATGTTTAGATTGATACGTACATTCTTAAAGGTTGCTGTGAAAGGAGTTCTATTGACTGCAGTTGGTCATGATGCAAACAGCCAAATCTATCCAATTGCTTGGGCTGTGGTACAATCTGAGAATGCTGAGAATTGGCACTGGTTTGTTCAGCAAATAAAAAAAGATTTGGGACTCGAAGATGGCAGCCGGTTTATTATTATATCAGACCGCTCAAAGGTAAAAACGTCTCATCCATATGAATTAATTTTACATGTTGGGTAAGTAACTAGTTCTAATTTCCTCTTGTTTGTCAACTGTTCAACAGGGTCTGTTAAGTGCAGTTAAACATGAGCTACCAAATGCTGAACATAGAATGTGTGTGAAGCATATTGTAGAGAATCTGAAGAAGAATCATGGCAAGAAGGATCTGCTGAAGACATTAGTGTGGAAATTAGCTTGGAGTTACAATGTCCAGCTCTATGAGAAGAATCTCAACATCTTGAGATGCTATGATGATGCATTGTACAACGATGTACTGAAGGAGGAACCACATACTTGGTCTAGGTGTTTCTATAGGCTTGGAAGTTGCTGTGAGGATGTTGACAACAACTCGACGGAGTCATTTAACTCGACTATCACCAAAGCAAGAGCAAAATCATTGGTTCCAATGCTGGAAACAATAAGGAGACAAGGGATGGTTCGGATGGTCAAACGAAACAAGAAATCAAATCGCCATAGTAGGAGATTTTCAAAATATGCTTTGAAGATACTTGCATTAGAAAAGGAAGATGCAGATAGAAGTAGTGTATCTCGATGCACACATGGAGTGTTTGAGGTATTTTTAGATGGGAATAGTCATAGGGTGGATTTACCAAAGACATTGTGTTCATGTGGGAAGTGGCAGATAAGTGGAATTCCTTGTGAGCATGCTTATGCTGCTACGATAGAGGCTGGATTGGATGTTGAGAACTATATATCTGGGTTCTTCTTGACAGAAATGTGGAGAGACAACTATGAAACTGCCACCATGCCATTAAGAGGACCACTTTACTGGATGAATACTGGTTATAGCTTGGTAATCGCACCACCAGAACCTGTTCTGCCAGGAAGAAAGAAAGGAACAAGTAAAAAAGGAAAGTTCGCAAGGATCAAAGGGAAGAATGAGTCACCTAAGAAAAAGAAGAAAAAGAAGGGTGAAGTAGAAAAGCTAGGGAGAACAGGACGAATCATGCATTGCAAGAGCTGTGGTGAAGCTGGGTATAATGCATTAGGATGTAAGAAATTCCCTAAAGAGAAGGTACCGAGGAAGAGGAAGTCAAAAGAGGAGGTAATTTATGTTTTCTAGACTCTAACTTAACATTCTAGTATATAATCTGACTCTTATTAACACTACTATCAGATTCACAATGTAGCAAAGAAGGCAAAGAATGGTAGCAAAGAGACTCAAGTGACGATGACAATCACACAACCTTCCCAAGCAACTGAAGAGTAGTTTTTAGGTTCTGTTTTATCTTGGAATGTGTTGTCTTGTTTTTTGAAGTTACTCACATGCTTATAACGATCGAATCTATATAATGGAATGTGTTGTCTTGTTTTTTTGAGCATGCTTTCATTTCTGTCGGAAGCTACCAACACAAAACACATCTTGTTTTTTTGAGCTACCATATCCAAATTTCATTATATAGACAACACAAAACACATCTTGTTTTTTTGAGCTACCACTTTCATTACAAAACAAACAACACAAGACCCATCAAGTTTATCACATACCAACAAGGGTCTTAACATAATAACCAAACACATTAGAAAACCTTTCCACAAAGCCATGCGATTGAAGCTACCACAGTCACGAGTAAAAGAGTCTTCATGCTCGACTTCTCCACACCATTTTTTGCAACCATTAGCTCTTGCTCAATGATCTCATTCAGTTTCTCGTTCATCTTCGTGTTCATATCCTCCACCATTTTCTTTTGGACTTCTACATTTTCCATCATCATCTTTCGTATATTATTGACATCTTCTACGAGTTTGTTATGTTTCTTGTCAACCATCCTAATCTCCTCTAGATGAGCTTCATCAACCCAACAGAACAAGTGTTTCTCTTTTTGTTTCTAACATCAAGACCATATCGGCAATTCAATCAGCAAAGTAACTGAAAATAGTACCTAATATTGCAAACACATTATCTAAATACATTACCTTCACGCCCTGCACACATCTATAGAACCTCCGATACGGATTTTCATCTGTCGTTGAAGTATACGTTGTAATTTTGTGACCACACCAGCACCTACTTGGAACTCCTCTGTGAGTAGCATTCGAAGTCAGTTGAGACGACTCAGAAGAAGAGAACTGGCTCATTGTTACTGACAATAACGCTGAAAACGCTTCCACTTCCTCTAATCAACAAAAGAGAAAGCACTTCCTCTAATCAACAAAAGAGAAAGTCGAAAGAGGAGAAGAAGAAGAAGAAGAAGAAGAAGAAGAAGAAGAAGAAGAAGAATCGATGGAGAAGAAGAAGAAGAAGAAGAAGAAGAAGAAGAAGAAGAAGAAGAATCGATGGAGAGGAAGAACAAAAAGCCCCAAATTCGATTTTAGGGTTTTAATGATTATAATTCGGGTTCAAAAACTCAAATCGGGTTTAGTCAATCGCGGCACAGTAAACGCGAGATTAAGATTTTAAAACGCAAATTAAAGGATTTTAAACAGCTTAATCGATTTTGGTTAATTAGGTGGAATTATGTAGTTTAGGTGGAATTGAGAAGCAAAAAGTTTGTTCAGGTGGAATTCTGTAGAGTGTTAAAGTTTAGGTTGAACCTAGTTGAAAGCTTATAGTACAGGGGGCCAGATATAGGCAGCCCTATGGAGTATATACAAAAATTAGCATTAAATACAGTAATATGCTTTGAAATTCTGCATTCATTTTGTAATCACCAGAATCTATAATACAAACATTTTATTTCGGTTTTCAATTTCCAAATGGAGTTTTCCGATTTTACGGTTGGGCCATCAAATGGAGTAAATTATGTTCCGTTTCTTGTATAGACCCATTATGAAATATATTTTAATTAGACAATGAGCAATGGTTGCTAGCTAATCATTTTAATTAGACAAAAATTGTCCTCATTAATTTTAATAACTATTTTCCTCCATAACTAATTGAGGGTAATTTCTGAAATTAAACCCAATTTTAAGCCATGATTAAATGTGTACTTGTCTTTTAATAATAAGAAGTTGTCTTCGCTATCAAATACTAATATAACACTATATGTCTTTTTCTCTTCATACAATTTTTCTTAGCATTTCCAAAATCATATCTGAAGATTTTCAAAAATTTAGATATATCAATACCTGATAATATCCTATGTTTCCTCCCATGATCATGTTTTCCATCAACCCATGAATTCTTCTCTCGATAGCTATGAGTTGGTGACAGACCCTCTCTTTGACACATATACACATGCATCAAACTTCAACCACATACTATCAGTGTTTCTTCCACTAACAGGACATCCCATTTTATTGTTCACTTTGCATCCAACAAGATTCTGATAAGCAAGAAATTCACTTATATTCAAGAGAAGCATTGCCTTCAAACGCATATATGTTAACTTTCTTTTGTTCTAGAGATGACATAGGTCCTCAATCAATCAGAGGTCAAAAATATATCTATACTATTTCCAGGTTATTATGGACCAGGAATAAGCTAAGTAAGCATAATTTTTTTTTTTGAAATAATGTTAAATTATATTCAATGAAAAATCGTTTTACAACTAGTGCATTGTTTGATGATTATAACTGAAAGAAGAATAATAGTGTGCGCTTAATCTCGAGATGGAAACCAAAGTTGGAGGCATTTGTCGTAGCGTCGGTCTCCAATGAGGTGAATCGTTGAGAATCTGTTTTTCACTTGTCTATCTATCCAAATTATGAGCAAGGAGGGTGATGTGATCATGGATAGCTTGGAGCATGGAAATAATGACCAGCTTAGACCCGAGGAGGATCACTGAGCTATGGAGCAGCTTGAACATGAGGAACAACATGAAAATGGAGAGATTGGAGTTGAAGAAGCTTTACAAGTCCCTAAAGATCCTATGACAAGATCTAAGAAGAAGATGCTAAGTCAAGCCATAACCACACTCCTACAACAAGTTTAGGGTAATCTTGAGTGTGCTTATTGTGGGAGCTGAAAACCACGTAACAGGAGGAAGTGAACTTGAGTGGGGTTTTATTCCCTGTCCGAACTCGTAGAACTTGCTAGCGGTGAATAGATAGGTGAAATATACTTTTATTGCTTAGGAAAATCAGACCGCGAGTACAATTTCCCTTATCCTCTATTTATACAAATTAAGTAACCATTAAATGTTCTTTGAACTCCGCTCCGTCGATCACGCGATCCTCATTCAAGCAGGGTTTGACCATGGAATCGCCCGTTACGATATGCTTCTTGACTTCCTGAAATTACGCCCGACTTCTCCCTGGCGGGCTCGGCATTCTCTGAAGTGGGCTTATTTGACATAGGCCTGAGCGCGGCAGGCCTGCTAGCCCGTGGTGCTAATTTCGGTACCCACAGTTAGCCAACCACGTTTGTTGTGATTCAAGCCTCGTAAGAGGAGACAATGGAGGTTTGTGACTTTTACTCTATTTCCCTCCTCTTGATTTGTCCCACTGGGTTTTCCAAGAGAGGTTTTTAATGAGACAAAGCCACACAGTTTTACAAAGACCCATTGTTCTCTAATCGAGCCCATTCCAGAGAAGCTGAAAAGTCATTTTTTCCCCTAGTCTCCTAAACTCTATATATTCTGCCTTGTTTCTCTGTAACAATCATCAAACCTTTTCTTATTAAAATCTCTTATGAACTTGTTTGATCCTTAAGTTTATGTTTAAATGTGTCTTTTTCATAATTCCTTCTCCTTAATGCTTTTGGAGTTTCATACCCAAGTAGGATCGAGTCTGAAAGTTCAAAGGATTGTCATAACCCGTCAGTTTTAGAAAAACCGTTCAGTCTAAGCCCGACCACTCATCAGATCAATCTAGGCACCAATCCGCACAAACCCGCCTGTTTTGAAACCGCCAACCACAATCGCAGAAATATTCTATAAACCACACAAAGTGTTCAAGTGGCATAAATCTTCTAACTAAGATCATATCATGTGGTATCAAAAGCCACTTAATGTCAGGTTGCATCTAAACAAGCTTTTAATATTCTGTTTGTGTTTAGATCTGTTAGAAAGTATTGGTTGTGTGAGAATCTTTTTAGATCTGCTTAAGAACTATATGAATCTCTGGATTTTAAGTTTTGTCTTTTCAACTTCTTAACTTGAATTTTTATTGTCCAAATAATTTTTATTGTCTGTTATGGTGTTTACTTCCGTAGAACGATGGAGGACGAGGAGCAGGGAGAAAATAGCAACAAGTTGCTGCTCGAAGCTCTCACATCTCATCTGACTAAGTTAATGGACGCCAAGCTTGACGTTTTTAGACAAGAACAAGAAGGTTCTGAATCTAATCAAGACAGACACGACATAGAACAAAGAAACCATATTAAGGTTGGACATTCATTAAGCTACTATAGCTAATCATCTAAGAAAAGTGGCCATAGAAGAAGAAGAAGACGTGACAGAGAAGAAACCATTCATCCTAAGGATACCTTGCCTGGTCTTAAACTTCGAATTCCACATTTTCATGGAACCAGCAACCCGGATGAGTATCTAGAATGGAAAAAGAAGATTGAGTTGGTGTTCAACTGTCAATAGTACACAGAAGAAAACAAAGTTAAAGTGGGGCCAACCGAGTTTCAAAATTATGCATTAAGATGGTGGGATCAGTTGGTTACTACAATGAGACGTGTAGGAGATTATTCAGTGGAGACTTGGACTCAAATGAAGACCGTAATGAGAAAGAGATTTGTCCCAAGTCACTATCACAGATAGCTACACTACAAATTGACGAATTTGGTCCAAGGGAACTAATCAGTAGAAGAGTTCTAAAAATAAATGGAAACTTTGTTGTTGCGGGTTGATATTTAAGAAGATCAGTAAGCCACAATGTCAAGGTTCATGGGAGGCTTAAACAGATACATCATAGACAGTATGAAGGTCCGACACTATGTGGTGTTAGAGGAGTTGCTGCACAAAGTGATCATCTTTGAAAATTATATTAAGAGAAAGAGTCCCAAGCTTAGTTTTTCCAGCAAGAATAGTGAAATCATCAGTGGTACTCACTCAGTTAGTCTGGTTCTCCTACTCGGAAATTAAACGCCTAACCCAATCCCAAAATAAAGAAGCAATATATCATGCAACATATGCAGGCAATCAATTAAGGAATCAACAATAATCAGAGTAAATAATGATTATGCATAGCGGAAACTAAATACGCGAGACTCCATCAAAACTCGATTCTACAAAGTACCCATGTGATTACGATCCTCCATCCACAACAACATAATTACATTAATCTGTTACCACGAAGAACCTGAATCTAACAACACCCAGTTTATCCTAGTTGTTAGTGTGACTCTATATTTACTCGATAAAACAATTGAAAAACGATAGTTTTGGCCAGCATCGTAACCATGCTCTGATACCACTTTGTAACACCCCTAAACCGATCTACGGACAATACACGTTCCGGATGTGTCACTGGCGAGCACTACGTATGATCTGACCGAGGTTCTAGCATAAAACCAACGTTCTTAGTCAGTCCATCCTTAGTACTAGCATAAAACCAGCGTTCTTAGTCAGTCCATCCTTAGTACTAGCATAAAACCAGCGTTCTTAGTCAGTCCATCCTTAGTACCGTAAACAAAAGTTGTCTTGGTTTGGACAAAACCCACTTTCAATCAACAACCATCATGAATATACGAGGTTTGTTTTACATAAATACATCTTTATTAAATAATCACCAAAATAAGTATGCAAGTTCAGGATGTCCATCGTCATACAATACATAATACATCAAACATAATCCATTTACACTAACAACAACCAAAATTACACTGGGGTCCTACGTTCCAAGGTTCACTAAGGGTTTTCTAAGGTTTCCTAGAACAAAAAAGTTGAGTCATGAGTGCTACTCACTCACCCAACCCAACCCAAAATAAATAGCAATCTATCATGCAACCTATCCAAGCAATCAAGTATAATCAGAGTAAACAATGATTTTGCACAACGGAAACTAAATATACGAAACTCTATTTAGACTCGATTCTACAAAATGGCCATGTGATTACTATCCTCCATCCCCAACAACATAAATACATCAACCTGTTACCACGAAGGACCCGAATGTAGTAAGTCTTAGTGTGACACATCACATCTATCTCAAAACTACTCCGTCGGGTAATACATGGCCTAAGGTGC